ATAGACGTTTTGATTTTTTAGAAATTTGAGTGATGATATTTCGACACCCACCAAGCCAAATTCTATGAACATTTTTTCTTTGAATTCTACAGATCTGTAGAATTCAAATAAAAAAATGTTCATAGAATTTGGCTTGGTGGGTATCGAAATATCTTCGCACAAAGTTTAAGAAAAAGTTTGCCGCAGCTCTTCTTTATAATAGACGTTTTTGATTTTTTAGAAATTTGAGTGATGATATTTCGACACCCACCAAGCCAAATTCTATGAATATTTTTTTATTTGAATTCTACAGATTTGTAGAATTTAAATAAAAAAATGTTCATAGAATTTGGCTTGGTGGGTGTCGAAATATCTTCGTACAAAGTTTAGAAAAAGTTTGCCACAATGCAATACTTAATCTTGTCACGGGCATAGGTAATAACAAATAATGTTTCACAAATAGGTACGTACATACTAGGCCAAGTATGGTACTATAGCATAATGTAGTACTTATATCTAGCATATGTTTGATATTGCAAATTTATCGCTATTACCAAATTTGAGGTCGGAATTTGAAACTATTACGTTACTATTACGTACTTGTGCCATAAATAAATTGAGATGTTAGTTTGGTATTTAACCGATCAATAATTCAATAATTGGAGTGAATATATAAAAACTTGACACAATCACGTACAGTTTTTTTTACCTTACTTCTATTATATTAATAATTTGACAACGTTTTTTTTTTTAACTAAGTCAAACTATCAATAAGAAAGTTAAAAGTCATATCATCAATATGGTTAATAGCAGTAGTGAGTAAGAATTATAATGGAATTTACAGTGATAGTAATAGTAAAACTCATAATAGTAAGTGTATATCCAAAGTCTTGTTTAGGGTACTATTTTTAAGCATATCAATATTTGTAAAATTATTTGTTACACCTTTTAATATTTTTGCATTTAGCAATTACTTTAGGAGAAATATCTTACGATTTTTCTTTGTTATCTGTTGGTTACACATTCCAAAAATGGAGTGACGTTGATTCTTTTTTTAAGCTTATGGCCAACATTTTGGATTTTCTGTAATCAAAAAAAGGGTTGGACAACATCATGATGGTACAATAAATCATAGATCTTTTGGATGTGAATTCGGAGGGAAATACAATCCTAAAAAAAATGTTGATATCAATGCTCATCATAATCAAAAATCCAAGCATCAAGGGTGTGGGTGGCATATAAACTTAAATCTCTCTAAAGATGCTACGTGTATTACGGTTACAACATTCGTCAATTCTCATAATCCTGATCTTCATCCCACAATTAGCAAGTATGGTACCAATTTTCGAGCAATTGTAAAAGATGCATTGAATGATATTGAATTTTATACCAAAAATGGAAATCTCACAATTGATAAACAACATCAATTACTAAAAGCCAAATACCTGGATATGGTCTTTTCAAATATGGACCTTGCAAATACCATCCGACGCTTTAAAACCAAATCTCAAGAACTTGAAGCAGATGCTTCAACTTTATTTTCTTTTCTTACTAAAAAATATTCAGAAGAATCAGGCTGGGTCATCGAATTTGAATTAGACAATGATAACCATCTTATTCGGCTTTTCTGGATGACGCCCTTACAAGTTTCACTGTGGCTTGAATACCTCAACGTTGTTTTTTAATGATAATACGTCGAAGACCAATCTTTATTAGATGCCTCTTAGTTTATTTTTAATTATTGATAACAACACAAGATTTCGCTTAGTTGCACAAGCATTAGTATCTGATGAAACAGTCGATTCTTATGAGTGCATTCTCCAATGCACAAAAAAAGCTATGAGTGCTGAACCGATAGTTTTTATTACCGATGCAGATCCAGCTATAGACAGTGCACTTAAACAAGTCTACACAACTACCAAGTCATTACACTATATTTTTCATATAAGTCAAAACCTTCCTAAAAATCTTAAAGCAAAATTAGGTCAATAATACAAGTTTGTAAAGTTTTTTTTAATAGATTTAACTGGCCTAATTTAGATTATCATTTTAATTAATTAGTTAACTAATTATATAACTTTTGCATTTAAGGTAATACCTACGGTCAGTTTATTAGTAAATTTTATCATTGCCGTAATACTTTAGATAGTACATTATTTGAAGTGAGATGGCAAAATTTATTACAAAAGTTTTCTCTTGCTGCAAATTACTTAAATCGGGTTTTATATCCAAGTCACCATGCGTGGGCCTGTGCTTTTACATCCAAGATCTTTACTGCTGGAGTTCAAACGACATCACACATAGAAGGGTATAATAGCATTATAAAACGAGTATTACACAGTAATAGCAGCTTATGTGATTTGGTAAAAACCTTAGATGAAAGACTAGAAAAAGAGGCAGAATGGAATCATTTCTTCAAATATCAGACTCTAACTAACTGTATTGGAATTATCTCTGTTGGAAGCGAAATGTTTTCTGTAATTAGTCATGTGATGATGGAGTACTTGACGCCACATATTCTTTCTGTTGAATACGTTGAAATGGCCCAGTGTTTGTATTTTAATGCAATAAGAACTGGAGTAGAAATAGTCGATTCATATAACAAGGTTAGAGTTCTGTTATGTTAGTAATTAACTGCTATTATTTTTTTTTTTTTGTATGTTATTTTAACTACTTTTTTGATTTTTTTTTTGTGTAAAATTTATTTTTTTTACAGGATGAAAATGTAGGTGATAAATTCATAGAAGACATTTATAATGCAAGGCAAATTCTATTAAATTCAATGGTCATGGAAGTTGATCAAACAAATATCAAAGAAATTTGGCAACTCATGGACAAGCGGCCAGGAAACAATAAACAAAAGCATTTTGTTGTTATTACAGATTCTGTTTCTTATTTATATACGTGTATGTCTAATATTTCTTGTAGAATCGTGTGCTGTCATTATTTTCAGGTACTTTTAGTATCAAAAGTTGCTGGCTTTCATATTAGAATAATAGCATCACGTTGGTATTGTGACAATAAAAAAGAAACAATAGATCAATCAAAAGTGATTTTCATAAATGAGCATGCTATCCAAATTCAACAAAATCAACCTACACTAATAATTCCCCAACCAAATGTCGTACCTCATTCAGTAGCCACAAGTAATCGGCATACCGCAGCCTAATGATCTAAATATAGTCAATTATGGGGTCTTGCAAGACAAGCAACACAGCTTGCAGTGGAGTGTTATGATAATAAGATGGCCCAATGGCTAAGAACATTTATCAATCAAAAAAAGCAGTTTCTTGAAAACAAAAGATCATCTGATGAGGTTAATGAAAGCGAGAAAGAGGATAGTACAACAATTGCCAACCCACCAGTCATCAAACATAGAGAGAGGCCTGAAACCAAGCGATATAAATCTGCTATAGAGAATGCACAACGACAACTATATACTTGTCGAACCTGTAGTAAAGTTGGCTATAATAGCGCAAGTTGTGAAAAAAAAAAAATTTAATGTGAACGCATATGTATAAAATGGTAAGGCTGTAAGGACTTAGAAGAGTTAATTGACTGCCATAATTTGCATTTATTTATAGTACTTATTCTAATGATTTTAGTCTTTAATGTTGTAATATCTACTTAGCTTCGCCTACGAAATTTATATTCAAGGTAAAAAGCTTATTAGAACCTTTAGATTTTGTTGCTAGCAATTATACTCTTTGAATAAGATTTTATTTATTGTAATACGCGTGTTTATATATGTAAATCTGAAGTGCGGTTATACTCAATGCAAAATAAATATATTGCTATATATAATATTTGATATACAGTATATGCTTTTTTAATCGTCTTTACTACTTTTTATTGAAAGAAATTTAATTATACTAACATATTTATTATGTATACATGATATAATTAAAGTATTTGTCAACATTTTATGCTTCTATTTAAAAGTATGTAAAATAA